TGGATTATGGGGGGCTTATTCTGCTCTCCATCCCTGTCTCCCAGCTCGGGGGGCTGAATACCCTGAGGATAACTGCTCTGACTGTTAAAGACTGAGGCAAAGAAGGCATTAAGTACCTCAGCCTTTTCCTCATCCTTGTTGGCAATGTTCCCCCCGCATCCAGTAAAGGATGGAGATTCTCCTTGGCTCTCCTTTTGTCATTAATATATTTGTAAAAACATTTTTTGTTGTCTCTCACAACAGTGGCCAGGTTGAGTTCTAGCTGGGCTTTTGCCTTTCTAATTTTCTCTCTGTATGACCTAACGAGATCCCTGTACTCTTCTCGAGTTGCCTGCCCCTTCTTCCAAAAGTGGTAAACTCTCCTTTTTTTCCTGAATCCCAGCAAAAGCTCCCCGTTCAGCCAGGCCGGTCGTCTTCCTTGCCAGTTCTTCTTACGGCACATGGGGACAGCCTGCTTCTCCACCTTTAAGACTTCCTTCTTGAAGAATGTCCAGCCTTCCTGGACCCCTTTGCCCTTCAGGACTGTCTCCCAAGTTCTTAAAGAAGATGGGTGGCTGTTTGGTGGAGTTGTGTAAAATATGTTTTTTCTGCAAAGGTGGTAACTCTTGGAGTATTGCATGTTATGTAGGCTCTGAGATACCAGGAGCCACACCTGACTGCAGGAGCAAAAGGTAAAAAAGCTTGAGGGGAGGAAAGCGGTGGGACCTTGGTTCTGCAAGGATAGGGGAATGACAGAGTAGTCAAGTCTTTGGCATCTGGGTGGAAAGTGTCAGCCTCGATGCTAAGCTTGACATAGGCACCTTAATAACGTATGGAAAAATAAAGTATTAAGATGACATTGTGCTGAGTTATTTGCGTCCTGAGTTATTTGCATCTTTCTCTCTGGCTTTCCTGTGGAGTCTGTCTGCCATGTTTTGTCTTCCCAGGAAGACTCCTCATGGGCTATAAGGTCTTCTTATGGGCCTAAAATTCCCATTTCCGTCCCTGCTTCAGTCCATGTTTGTCAATTCTGGCTGAGAGGAGCTGGTCCTGCTCTGCAGGGACAGGACGACAGCAACACCCAGGCAGAGAGATACTGTTGTCCTTCACAATTTTGTTATTGCTAGCTCTCATGATTTTACTGCAAGATGAGTGGTATTTGTTTTAATTGCCACCTCAGTTGCTGGAGTCAGTGATTAAATGAGAATCTCAGCTTTCACTTAAAAATAAATCTCCAGCATTTGTAGGTGTTGAGAAAGAGTTTGAAAATGTGGTAATGTGGTGTGAATTATACCCTAGAGGCTTAAAGGCTAGGAAACAAAGCAGCAAATTAAAAAAAAACCTTCATTTTATTACTATTTTATCATCTGAGGTTGCTAAGAATCCTCATTATTTTTTTGGTGACTGCTTTATGATTTTCAGCTGCTCCAATTGCTGCAGATCAAAAATCACTTCTTCACTTCTGAGAGTTTTAATTAGAATTTCCATGTAAACGTCTCTGCAGATTTTAAGCAACCAACTGAGGAAATGTAAAGAGAAAAATCATCATTTTTATATTAATGTTCAGCATTGTTGAATAGATCTTGAGTTTACACATAAATGTTATTCAAAGCTACAGTCTGTCAATAAGTAGAGCAGGGCAGTGCCTCCTCTGGTTTTTGCATTGTGCCAGCTACTATGTATATGGACAAGTAAAATTGGTAAACTTGGTAACAAGAAAGGATTTTTTCCTTATTACAAACTGTGGTGTTTGTTCCAAGGCAAAATTCTCTTTTCTTCTTAAATCTTTAAGGGATTCAGGACTAAGTCATGCCGAACAATAGTTTGCTTATCCAGGGAGAACTACTGAGTGCATTTAATTATCCTCACTGGTTGTCTCAGCACAGAGTGTGCTGATTATAGATAATGCTACCTTCAAAAGCATGCTGTTAGCAAGAGTGTTAGGTTTATTTTGGTAGATCAAATATGTGCGTTATTTCAGATGGTCTTAGATGTCCAGCTGCTGTTTTGAAAGCAGAGTTTCCAGGCATAGTTGCTCCTTGGTTGACCTCTTGTGTTATTTTCGAGGGGTTGGGGAGGATCACAAATTTTGTATTCCTTCTCTCCCCCTGTAGTAATTCTACTAGACGCTGAAAGTATTTGCAGATAAAAGCAAATACTTTTCCTGATCCTGTCCTATAACCCTCCAATTTATTTATTTGCTTTCTTTCGAATGCAGATTTTAGTAATGTGCCTGATGTCACATCCAGCTTGAAAAGGAGCAGTACTGATGGCACTCTGGACCAAGTGCCACACAGGGAGAAGACTGATCCACCTTTCAGGGTAAGAATGTGCTTGACACAACAATCCTTATGAACAAAAAGACAGTGTTGTAGTGTTAACGCTCTGCATTTTGTGGGAAAGAATTTAACGTATGGCACTGATTTGGAAAAATTTTTATGCATGTTAGCTGTATTTAGTGTTTTATTATCTTGAGGTCACCCTGACAGGTCAGCATCTACGGCACAGCTGCTGTATCTCCAAAAGCAGTGTGATGGGGCAAATGGCAAACAGGCGGAGACTTGTCAAATTCATCTTTCTATGTTGCTTGAACTCAGTTCTGTGGAGAACAGTAGAAAGCTGCTACAGCTTTCTAACTGATTCAGTTTGGTTCATGTTTTCTTTTTGCTGATACTTCTAGGGCTTGTTGTTAAGATTGCAGTGACCATAGCAACACTCGCTTAACGTCAATAGTTTTAGACTGGACTGCAGACTTGGAGAGGTGCAGTGTTTGAGAAGCAGTGATTCCCACTCTCTAGTTTGGAGAACCCTATGTGTCTGCAGTTACTGTTTGACTTCAGCTGGAGTAATGGATGCTCCAGCCTTCTCTCAGTCAGGACTTTGGAGGCTGAGGCAGGGACCCGCAGAATTAGCGTCCACCTTTGAATGCATTGGTCTCCAAAGAGCAATTTTTTGTCCATTTTGCTCTAAGTCAGTCAAATTGCAACCTGTGTCCAACTCAAGTGCATATTGTTTTGAACGCCACAACTGCTAGCATGGGTAGTGTTTTCATGTTGGTGGCCGTGATTTTACTAGGCATTGCCATTCTGTCGACAGAAATGTTTTTGTTGCTTCTGTTGAAGAGTTGGTTGTTTCTCCAAGCAAATTTGTGATAACATTTGCATTACACTCTTGCATAACAGAAATGAAGTTAGAGTTTTTATGGTTCTGGAATATATTACTGTCTTGTACTAGGTTGTATGAAAAATTGGTAGACATAAGGCAGAACGTGAAAACTCAGAAGTCCAGAACAAAGAAGATATATTGTGCCTGTAGCCATACCTACCGAGAGGAGCTGATCCTCTCTCACTTTTGGAATTACTTCAGTCTAATATAGGTGACTTTATGCAGTTTCCCTAGAAAGTAAGGAGAAGCCCAGTGATTGCGGGCCTTTAGCCCATCTCCTGCTGCACAGGGGATTCCCACAAAGATAATCTATCTCCTGTGTAACATGTTGTTTATGCTCCCAAGCAGTCTTTGCAACCAGACAAGAATAAACTGGATTTTTCTCCCCCTGGGATGCATTGTTCCTTTGGAAGGGGTAACGTGGATTTCTCTACCGTCCTGTTTTAGGGCTTCTGCAGTGTTTTAGGGGCAGGGATCTTCGCGGGAGCACAGCGGAGGTGACCCCAAGGCTTAGGATGCCTCGGTGGCTGGCTGCACCAGCAGGCTGGTGCTTGGCCACGTTCCCCCAGGCGCCTCGGGGTGCCCTGCTCGCCTGAGGTACGCGCTGCCCCCCATGCGCTGTGCAGACATACAAGACTGAGCTCCCGTCCTGCTGGAGGGAAGGAGATTCTGGGGCCATAGCGTAGAAACAAAGCCAATCCTGATCATCTGTGTCAAATGCACCAGATGACAGAAAATTAGGGAGAGCTCAGGAGGATTTAAATACAGAGAGAACAATTCGAGTACGCTAGTTGTTGCTCTGAACGCACTAAATTTGCTCCAATCCTCTAAATTACATGCTGCAATTAAAGCTCAAAAAAGAGGGGAAAACAGACAGGTCTGCTCCCTGCCTTCTCTCCAGCCTCAAATCTGTCAGTCTAGCAGCTATTAATGGCTTTTTTTTCATTTTCTTAATTAAATGACCCTGCCCCACCGTCTCAAATCTGTCAGTCTAGCAGCTATTAATGGCTTGTGCACAATTTGCTGAAGTAACTGCCCATGCCATACTGCAGTTCACTTCTTGGTTGGCATGCAGGTCTGCTAGTGTCATTTTAAAAAGTATCTGAAGCTGTCCTAGTTTTGAGGTACGAGGCGGGGAAATGGCTTAGCAATCAGAGGCACTGACTTGAACTGCAGCTGTAAATGTGTCTGTGACAGCTCTACAATTTCTGCAAATGGTTTGTAATTGATTGCTGTCTTTCTGTTGGAGGGTGCCTATTACTGTCAGAGCTTTTTGTCTGACCCTTTTGATTTCTGCAATAGATGTAGAATTAAAAAAAAAAACAAACCTCACAGTAAATTTAGGTAGAGTATATTGTGTGTGCTTTTGTGATTGGGTATAAAAGGAATTAAAATTATTTCTGTTTTTATAGCTGTGATTTGGGACTGCTCGCCAGATGAACAATAGCTATGGCAATAAAAGCTAGTTTGAGGAAATTGTGCAGCCTCAAAAAGCATAGCATCTGGATTTGGGTTTGTTTTTTTTTTTTCCCCTTTGCCTTCTGTTTCCTGCATGCGCTAACGTGACCCATGCCTGTGGGAGAGCAGTAGCGCAGACACCTCAGCATTAGGTGATGTTGCAGAAGTATGGGGGAGAGGAGATGTGTAAGCACAGCTCTGTGGAGAAGACGTTGGTGGCGCTAAGAGGTTCTGAGCACAGCCTGGAACAACAGGCAGTTTGGGATTATTTCGGGGGAGAGACAGCTAGAGGTGCTCACTTCCCATTTGACAGCAACTGTAGATGTAATTACTTGGCTCTGAGGGAGCAGACTCCTTTGAAGTTTGGTTGATTTTTGTCCCGTAACATGTAAGTAAATATAAAACAGTCTTAAAGCTTTGGATTTAATGGTTGCATGTCTGATTTCTAGATTTTGTGTTTCTCATTTGGAGCATTTTTGTTTGGTTTTCACTATTGTATTCTTCATCCTATACCAAGCTAAGGTTAGGCATCATCTTAACTGAAAGTACAGTGAGGCATTTCAGAAGTGCCTTGCAATCTCAAAGGAATAAGCCTTTTGTTGCATGTGTACTACATTCAAACATGCATTCATTCAATCATTCATTCATTCATTTTTTGTAGTCCGAGAATGAATGAATTTAGAATAGTTGTGTGTTTGTCTTTCATCTGAGAGCTAACAAATGAATTAGAAGGGCAATAGAGGATTTCATTCCAGAAATGGAAGCTGTTCCTTAAGTTATAAAATATTATTAAAAACACATGGACATCAAGAACCATTCATTCCAGATGCTCATTAGTTTTGTCAGCTCTGTATTCTCTGGGATGCCCCATTTATACCTTTACTTTATTTTCTATTTTATTTAACAAGGATAGATGTTATACTTCTAACACATTCTGCTGCAGTACATTTTCAAACTGTGTTAAAATACTGTTTATGTGGCAGTGGCATGTCATCCTTGCAATTGTTGGTTCTGGAGTATGTAGGCGTACTGTTGACAGAAGAATAGAGGACCTCAGAAAATCTGGGGATTGAGTATGCCTGTCAGTGCAATTAGGTTTAGTTGTGTTTAATCATTTTGAGAACTAATTGTCTGTGCTCCTGGTGCTCCGTTAAATCCTGATATGTTCACAGTTGCCAAGAATCAAGCTCTCCGTACATCAAAGTAGCAATAAGCTGAATAAATAAAAAATGCAACTTTTTCTTTAGCTACTTGTGATTTCTAATTGCAAACCGTATTGGTTAGAAATGTTTTCTCTAGCCCATGGTTTCTTTTAAGGTGAAGTTTAGTAGTCTGTTACTAACTTGCTTTTCTTTACTTTGTATTTTCAATATATTAAAAATACCCTTTTATGAAAGACGAACATAGCTAAAAGGTGAAATTTTACTGTATAAGTAGCTACTATTCCAAGGTCTTTTGTAAGAATGCTGTGATCTGACTTTCAGTTGCTCTGAATCTTTTGAGTATCATCAGAGATAAGTATTTCCGAAATCATATTAAATTTTAAGAGACGGAAAGAAGGAACTTCGTATAAGTGCATGTGTGAGAGGGGGAAGATGTATTTTCACTTTAAATATTTTACAGATCATAATAAAAAACCTTAGAGTAAACTCTGTGCAAATATTTCACATAACTTCATTATATTCTCAGCTGTATCTTAGAGTTCTTTAAGAAACTTAAGAAACCCAGTAAAAATAGCTAGTGTGATGCTTTGTAATCACAGTAAAAATAGTCAATGAATGCAGAATGGTTTTATTCTGGCATCTTCAAAAATTAACATTGCAGATGCAGAAACGGAAGTTACTGTGATGAGAAACTTTGAATGTTAACAAGAATTTGCTTTCTAAAGAGTGGCCAACTGGTTTGATTTTGTAACGCTTTTGAAGTGGTGCTGTATTTCTTTCAAACAATGAAGTAAAATTGATTCTGGGAATAAGTTGGGTGTAGACACTTACAGAAATTGCCTTTGCTTTGCTGTTGATTCTTAACATGGTCAATCTACTCCCAGAATGGGTTACTGATCGTACATCAGTATGTGTATATGAGGACAAGTCTATCCCCATCACCTCTTAATTAAAAAAAAAAAAAATCCAAACTACACACTGCAGAGGGAAAAAAATAACTTTTTTTTCTTGAGAATACCATTCTTAATGCAATGAACAGAAATTTTGGTTAAAAATCCCTGAACACCTTTCCCTAGCATGAGCTGCTTTAGATTAGCTCAACTCACTCCTTCTCCGCTCCCGTTTAACAACCATGTTCACTTCCCTTCCATCTGTTGAGGAAATGAAGAACTCGTGACAAGTCTGGTCAGCAGAGCGCATGGCACCTTTGGCAAACACAAACCTGCATCTCCTTCAGGATGGAGCATTTCATCAAGTGCTTTGAGCTTTTTATAGGGATGAGGTGCAAGTCAGTATAATGGCCCTACTTGATATGTCCATATTTATAAATATAGGGGGAAAAAAGAAAGTAGAAAAAATATGTACTCGTACATTTCAGAAGTCTGCTTTTGGATGCTCGAGTTTCCTTTGTAATGTCAAATCATCCTTCCAGTGCTTTTGAAACTTGTGTGTTCTGTTTATTGTGATGCCAATTGTGGACAGTCCTCCATTTGCCAGAGAGGAGCTTTTGCAAGTGCAGTGAGAAGCAGGTGTTCC